ATAAAGAGGGAATATTATTCTGCCTCTATTCTTCTCTTCCTTCCTAGTATCTATCTCTTTTCTAGTACTTATCTCTTTCCACTTATGACTATAACCATGTATCTTTAAAATTTATATTGTTTTGTTTCCTAGTATAATTTGATTGCTTATTAGTAACCTATGACTATCACTAAATGTTGTATCTTATAATTCTTGATTAATGTTTTTTTTTCCTTTTATGTACGCTGAGAGTACCAAAGACAAATTCCTTGTGCGTCCAATCACACTTGGCCAATAAGGAATTCCATATCCAAGGATCTCCGGTTTGTTAAGTCACACCACGCAGCAAGCTCCTAACGCTTGGGCTGGATACCGAATAAAAGGCATATTTTCTGTTTTTTCGACTTAAACTGGCCAAAGTTAAAAGCGGGAAGCAGCCGGGTTTAACGTCCGTTCCCCAGAGGAGATCCGGGAAGGATCTGGTGAATCTTCTCAGCTGGCAAACCCCCTCCTCCTCGCGGAAAGCTTGGCTCGGGCACCCGGGAGAATCGGTGGTTCTTGACAGCCTGTCGGGCCTCGAACCAGCTCTAAAAATCAGCCCTAAAAGCTCCCGAGCTGGCCAAGTCCCCCCTTTTAACCAGTTCATAACACTATTTGACGGTTCCGTCATCCGAGTCCACCTTGGATCTCAGGGCCGTCTCTCGAGGGCCAAGAAGACCCGCGAGGTTCAAAGGAGCTGCAAGCTTCCGTGAAAAGCCTCCTTGGAAAGTTACCATCTGGGTTAGACTGGGGGGGTCTCAGAGGGGGGAAAAAGTGGGGCAGGAAGAGGAGCCCGATTTGGACTCCAATAGAATTGACACCACCACCCCTCTTCCCCAACCCTGGATCGTTCCGTGGTTTCTTATACTATTCTGGGCATTTCTAAGGTTCCTTCCCTCCTTCTGCCTGGTCAGAGGGCTACTCTTAAAAGTCTCGGCGAATGGGGCGGGTTGGGGGGCAAAGAGTGAGACTGGACACGATGCCCCTGTGCGGGGAAAAGTCCTAGGAAAATACGGGCTGCGGATTTCTCCGCCCGCCGCGGAGACGAGGTCGGTGGAGGGAAAGGGGTCGGCTGACGCGGGGTGGGTGGGTGGGTGAGGAGGGGGCTTCTTCGGGGGACAAAAGAGGGCGTTTGAATTGGCGCTCTGGGACCGATCCCGAAAACTTTTCGCACTGGGGATCCACAGCATCGACAAGATCCTCTTTGCGGGCTCAGGCGTCGCTGCTGCTGCTCCGGGGTAGGTCAAAAAAGTCAAAATGGCGGTCACGGCCGCGGGGTGGAAACTGCTTTGTATGTAAACACGAATAGAGGTTCGAATCAGGGGTGAAATTCAGCAGGTTCTGACGGGTTCTGGAAAACAGGTAGCAAAAATTTTGAGTAGTTCCGAGAATCGGCAAATGCCACCTCTGGATGGCCCCAGAGTGGGGTGGAAATGGAAATTTTGCAATATCCTTCCCCTGTCACGCCCGCCAAGCCACACCACGCCCACCAAGCCACGCCCACAGAACCGGTAGTAAAAAATTGAATTTCACCACTGGTTCGAATCGCACAGTCGTGGCGACCAATTTGACTTTTCTAACTACACCTGGGCGATCTCACTCAACCCCCATAAAGTCCTTCTTAATAAAAATTAATCCTAATTAATTTCGTTTCCAAAAGGCCGGAAGCAACTTCAGATCGGACGCTTCCTACTCTCTGCCCTCGGGAAGCTGAGGACACGTTTGGGCAGCATCGTTCGACCCCTCAACTCACAAGGGTCTCGGCACTGCCGGGCAAAAGTACCCTTCTCACGGGATAGGCAAACGGATGAGGTAGACATCTCAACTGACACTAGATTGTACGGTCATCGGAATGAAAGCGCCGGAGAACGTGATCCCGGACACGTTTGTTAACGCACACAGATGGGCTCAGACGTTGTATTTGATCTTTGGGGATGTTTAGCTCAGCCTGTTAATGTCTATGGAGATTCTCAGTCATCCAGGTCATTGTCCCAAAGGTGCTTTTTCAAGAGGCAACTGGACTTTCTATTTTTTTCTTTGAAGACGTTTCGCTTCTCATCCAAGAAGCTTCTTAGCTTCTTCAGCTTCTTGGATGAGAAGCCAAATGTCTTCAATGAAAAACCAGAAAGTGCCGTTGCCTCTTGAAAAAGCACCTTTGGGTCAGTTCTCTTGGTGTAGCAGATCCAGATATTCATTCTGTCTCTGTCCTAACACTGGTTATTGGGGTGGTGTAGATTTAGCCTGTTATGTGAACCCAGCCATTGGGGTTTCGTAACGGGAGGGCTTAGCGTACTGTGCGAACCAAAGTTAAACCAACTCCGGGCTAGAGTGCAAGGTGCAAATCCATGCACGGAGCGCCTTTTGATGTAGCCTAAATTCTAAAAGACAAATAACCGGTTTGTCTTATTTTAACACGGACTGGACATCCAAGGTGGTCATCCATATTTAGGGGACCCTCGTTGGCAGAGAAGGGGTTTCAAATTGTTCCAAGCTGAAGTTCTGAGTTTTCACCCGAGTTTGTGGCAAGTAAGTCGAAAAAAAGGGAAACCCCTGGTAGGTTACCACGCAGGGAAGAAGCGGAGGAGAAACGCGCTTGGCTCATTCTTCGAACTGAGCGTTTGTAAGCCTCGGCCGCTCTCTCTTCCCAGGGAGCCTCCGAGGGATGGGGGGGGCTGGCTCGGATCCCCTCCCCACCACGCAGCCGCCGCTTCCTTTTATCCCAGTTAGTGATATTGCGGGCCAAAAAGAGCGAGAGAGGGTGGGAGGGAGGTCCCGCGTCTGGACTCTCCGAAATCTCCCACCCTTCACCGATGATTCTTCGCCTCGCCAGGGTAAGTTAAAGCCAGGCGCACGGGCGCGACGGGGTCTCTAGCGGACGAGCCAAGTAGGACCACCGAGCCCACTAACGGGGCGAGCGAGAGTGGCAGGACAGGCGAGCCGACGTGGCTCTGCACTTGAGAAATATTGGGAATGGGCGGGGCCTTCCTATTTGCTTAGTAAGCATTTATTTTCCCTGCCCAGCCCCCACCCCACCCCTTTTTCTAAGCTGCCTGTCGTCTCATCGCCAACGGACGGGACTCTGGGTGTCTCATCTCCGACCTTTCCCCTAGACCAGCAGCCCCCCAAACTCCAATTCCGTGGAGAGAGTGGGTTTTTCCCCCCCGCAGAGTGGAGAGCGTAGTTTCACGTACTGCCTGCTGGATGAGGCTTCGCTGGTTTGCGTGGACCGGTTTCTGGATCTCCCGGCCCAGGGTGGGGTGGGGGATTAGGGACCCCTGCTTTAAAAGACTCTGGGTGACTTCTGCCTTCGAGCCACAAAGAGAGATAAATCTGACCCTTCCACCGCCTGATGAAGGCTGATAGCGGCCAAAGCTCATCTGGACTCCGCCAAACGGGACTTGACCTAAACAGCATCAACTCTTGGCTTCCTCCGGAACGCGGGGATTCCGCGCCGCCTGCTTAAAAAACGCGGCAGTCTGGCTGGGGGAAAGTGGGAGAGGGAAAGTGAGAAAGAGAAAGTGAGAACCGAAGCAAGCATCCTCCAAACGCCCCCCCACACCCATCCCCCAACCCCCAAACTCCCTTCTGCCGTTTTCAGGGCCTGGACGGGACACCCAGGAACTTTTCCCTGGTTTCAGCCTCGGCCGCGAGTCGAAAGGCTGAAAAGAGGAAAACCTCGCGGAAGCGGAGAACGAGGGTCTTACAAGGCGAACGAGGCGAACCGCGCATGCGCCCGACTGTCCAGGCGGCAAAGGGAAGCGTCGCCTCCCTCCCCGCCCCTCCCGCCCTGCGCTTTCCTGAATGGGAGGCGGAAATGCGCTCACGTTTAATCAATGGAGCCGGGACAGGAGGGGAGGAGCCAGGGGTTCCGGCAGCCCCGCCCCTTCACTCGTCTGTCACCCCGCCTCCTCCGCCTCCCTCCTCCCTCCTCTGCCCTGAGATACACACACTGGCCATGCATCAAATAGGCAAGCTTAATGCCTTTGCAAACAGAGAGCGCGCAGCGGCCGCTTCTCGGAGGCAGCTGGCGGAGGCAGCCGGGGAACAAACCGCCCAGATCGCGCTAGAAATGTCTACGGCCGCGGACTTCCTTGCCTGCCCTTCCCGAAGCGCTCGCTTCCTCCGCTTTTAAAAGTTCTACTTTCTCGCCCTTCCGCCCACCTTCGGCCCCAGCAGCCCAGCGATCGCGAGGTGGGGGAGGCGGCGCGGCTGGAGGAGGATCGGCGAGAGAAAGTTGCGGCAACTTTGCGGCGGAGGCTGAGACAGGACGGCGGAGAGAGGAGCGGCGATTCCTTCTTGGCGGCCGAGACGATCGCTCTCCCCCACCCCCTTGCGGGCAGCGAAGCAGCGGCCGGTGCCCGGGAGAATCCCGCGGGGAATCCGGAAGGAAAAGCGGGGAGCAGGCGGAGGGGAGGAGCGCCCGGCTTCCTCGGCGGATTCCCAGGGCAACTCGGCCATGGCAGGCGGGGAAGGGCGCCTCCTCGGCTTCTCCCAGTAGCTGGGGAATTTGCACCGAGCGAAGCGGACAGGGTGCCGGCCGAGCGGCACCTCGGCCGGTTTGGAGGGAAAGAGAGGAGCCGTCCTGGGACGGGACGCCGCCGCGTTGGGCTACCTTTGAAAAACTGGATTGACTTGGCCCCGGATTGAGCCGCATCTTCCCCGACGTCGCCCGGTCCCTCGGCCTGATCGAAGGTCGGCTTCCTCCGCTTCTCGTTGCTCGCGGAGGCGGCGCTCTCGTCTGGGCGGCTGTCGAACACCTTCCCCCCGCTGGGAGCAAGGCAGAGACCGGGCGGACTTGAGTTTTAAAGGGAACTTTTTACTACCTTCGCCTTTCCCTGAAGGGCGCGGGGCGGAGAGCCTCGACGGCAGAGGAGCGGAGGCCAAGACGACGGTGCGAGGATCGCCCCCCGCCCGCGAGGAGGAGGAGGAGGAGGAGGAGGGTGGGGGAGGCAACTTCGGATCCGGCCCCGCAGCCACCATTGATTTCCTGCGGGTGGCTCGCAGCGACGGGCTGGGCGCTGCCGCCGCCGCCGCCGCTGCCGCCGCGGGCATGGCCAAGCCGGCGGACCACGTGAAGCGGCCCATGAACGCCTTCATGGTCTGGTCGCGGGCGCAGCGGCGCAAGATGGCCCAGGAGAACCCCAAGATGCACAACTCGGAGATCTCCAAGCGGCTGGGCGCCGAGTGGAAGCTGCTGAGCGAGGCCGAGAAGCGGCCCTTCATCGACGAGGCCAAGCGCCTGCGGGCCATGCACATGAAGGAGCATCCGGACTACAAGTACCGGCCGCGGAGGAAACCCAAGACGCTCCTCAAGAAGGACAAGTTCGCCTTCCCGGTGGTCTCCTACGGCTTGTCCGACGTCGGCGACCCCCACGTCCACCCCCTCGGGCCGCATCACCCGGCGCTCAAAGCCGGCGCCCTCCACGGCCACGAAGCCCTCCTGTCCAACCCGGAGAAAGCCGCCGCTGCCGCTGCGGCTGCCCGCGTCTTCTTTCCTCCCTCCGCTGCGGCGGCTGCAGCGGCGGCCGCAGCCGCGGCTGCGGGCAGCCCTTACTCGCTGCTCGACCTGGGCTCAAAGATGGCAGAGATCTCGTCCTCGGCGGGCTCCGGCGGCGGTTCAGCGGCTGGACTGCCCTACGCCGCCTCCTCGCTGGCTTACCCGACGGCTGGAGGCGCTTTCCATGCCGCCGCAGCTGCAGCGGCCGCCGCCGCGGCCAACGGAGGCCACAGTCATTCGCACCCGTCCCCCGGCAACCCCGGCTACATGATCCCCTGCAACTGCAGCGGCTGGCCCAGCCCGGGACTCCAGCCGCCCCTGGCCTACATCCTGCTGCCTGGCATGGGCAAACCTCAACTGGACCCTTACCCGGCGGCGGCCTACGCCGCGGCCCTATGACAATCAGCCCCCTGATGAGGAGCCCGGGGCCGAGAAGAGCTGGGCGGCCCTCGCGGGGCCCGGACTGCAGGCGCAAGGAGAGAGCGCAGGCCGTCAGTCCTGCCTGGCTCCCCGCGAGAAACCCGCAGCCTGGCGCTTGGCTCGCCCTCTCTGCAGCTCCTGAGACGGGAACCCACGTCGGTGATCTCCCGGCTTAACTCCCCGCTACGGCTGGAGGGGCCTAGAAGTCGCTGCTTCCTCGATCTTTCCTTTCCGGGAAGATCCCGCCTTGCCAACCGCAAGACCCGCTTCCGACGACCTTGGGTGTTGCTTTGCTTTCCGTTCCATGATCCCCCACCCCCCCACATGCCCGCTTTCGTCTCCTCTCTCCTTCGCTCCCCCCCCCAACACACGTCCTATCCTGACCCGCAGTTCCGAGTATATGCTAGCCAGGTTCCCCCCCCTCCCCCAGTCTCGACGTATTCACGAGGTTTTCTTTTCATATCTGGATGCTACTGAGCAAAAAGAGTTTGCATCGCCACCCCGCCCGTACCTACAAGACAGAGAAGTTAGTAAAGGAGGCGCTTCACTCTCCCCAGAAGAGAAAACGGCTGCTCCCCTTCCTCCTGCCATCCGCGCATCTCACCTGAAGTTTGTAAAGTGTATACCTGTCCGTGAGAACTTTAGTCTAAGGCTATATTATTTGAAAACTCTGGGTTTGGGTTTTGGCTGTCATCCTACGCCCACGTTGGCTCGATGCTGCTAGGTCTGGCTGCCTTCAAAGAGACTTGCTTCCGAGCAGACGAAGGAAGGGGGGGGGGATAAAATCCGTAAGGCTCACCCTCCCGTCTCAAGTCAGATTCAGACGGCTGCGAATCAGTCCAAACTGCGAGTCACTTTTCCCGGTTGCCATTTGAGTTCGAGGCTTTTCTTTCCTTTTTTTTTAAAAAAAAAAATCGGACTTCCCACTTGAGGGAAATAATATATTTATTATGATGTCAATGTATCTCAGTCCTGCGTGTTCAAGACAAAACACCTACCCTTTTTTTCCTCTCCCTAACTCCATCACCTTAAAAAAAAAAATCCGGGTGTTCTCATTGTGATTGGCAGTCACTCCGCTTGGGTGGGTGGGAGAAATCTTTATTTTTTTAACAAAAGCATAAATATTCAGTTGCAAATAATGATTTTTTGGGAGGAGGAATCGAGCTCATTTTAAACAAATTCCCTCCATCGCAACAATTTTCTTTTACTTTTGTAATGTGTATATTTGGATTAATGTTTGTGAAATTCAACTTGCTTAAACAGTACTTAGGGATTCTTTCTTTCATTCTTCTTTTTTCTTTCTCCTTCTGTAATATAAAGTTTTTTGAAGAAAAGAAAAAGGTTTTTTTAAGTATTGGTTTTAACATTTGACGTGTATAAATGAGTTTTGCTGGTGTGCTCTAATTTAAAATTAGACGTCTAAACTATATCTGTACAATTAGACTCCGACTTACCACTCTGTTCATTTTGGAACAAAGAGTTTAAATAAAAGCCTGAAGCAGGGAAAAGAGAAAATCCTCTATTTCTTGTTGAGTTACTTACAAGATGCTAATCTCAATTGCCCTTACCTGCCTAGGCCAGGGGGAAATGTAAGGTATACTCCAAAGGCGGGCTTTGTTTCACTTTTGAATGGATTGACTAGGAAATCTAAATCAGACCATTGTTGCCTGATTTATCCCATTTGAAATTGTGAATGGGAAAGAACGATTTAAAAAAAAATATCCAATACCTCTGTTATCATTTGAAAAGGGAAAGGGAGATTAAAAAGAATCAGCCTTCACGAGCTCCCTTGGATACACAGCCAACTAGGGGGCTGGTTTCCACTGAATCTCCTCGCAGCAAAAACTTGTTTGACTGCTCTCCCCCCCCCCCCTTCGCTATCAAAGAGCTTCACAAACCCGCATGATTTAATTCAGGTGTCTTGGGGTGGTTTCTTATTTTCACAAAGAACTTTATTCTGGACTGAAGAGGTCTCCCTCTTCTGTGGGTTCTTCAGGGTTAGGCCCCAAAAGATTTTAAAAAAACAAACAACAACTATCCGACCAGTGTGAAGCCCTGAAGGACAGGTGTATGGGGTCCTTGAAACCAGAACAGAAGTAAAAAATATGTCTAGGATTCTGCCACTGGTTTCTTTGTCAGGCTGGCCTCTCTCCGGGGAAGAGAGGTCTCCTCCCATAGCACTTCAGGCTGCTATCCTTTGCATACTTGCTGGGAAGTATGCAAAGGATAGAGGGCCAGGAAGTTTCCCCAGGGAGACAGTGGCCTATTTGGGGAAGGAACTTCCTGAAGTTCCAAAGCCTTTGGTGGGGACCTAACGTGTTCTTCATCCCTGTGGGAAACAGAGTGGCAGAGCCCCTGGATTCATGAGGTTTGATTCAGGCAAGTGGGAGGACCCACAGAGTATCAAGACCTCAAGGGCAAAACCCTGGCCAAGCTCTTATTTGTGCAGTTGGTCTGGTCTTCTCACTAGCGCCTGTTGGGAAGGATTTCTGCTTCCCTTCATCGCCTTCCCTGGGCGTGCAAAACACACTTTCTCTCCCCTAGGTGCACGTTAACTGGTGCTGGTGCCGGGAGGGGGAAGGAGGGGGCGAAGATAGATTTGGAGGAATGTTTCGTGGCCTAGCACAGCTCATTAGATTGGCCCCCTTTCTGTTGTCTCCCGCATTATTATTATTTTTGCAGGTTCTTCAGTGAATTCATATGGTTTGGGAGAGATTGTGCAAAATTAATTCGGACAGTCCAGGGGTAATTAGCCCTGACACGGTTAATTAAATCCTGTCTCCACCTCCACCCTCTTGGTGGGGGCCACCCTTTCTCTACAGGGAACCTCTCGCTGATCTCTAGAAATCCCATTTTCACAGGCTTCTTGAGCTTTGCTCTCCACTTGCCCACTGCACTAATAATGCAAGCGAACCTGTTGCTTTGGACCCCCGCTTCCCTCCCGCCCGGGTATTAGTGACTCTCCCAGTGGTGAAGCGAACGCCTTTGCCGCCTGTCCCGCAAACGCCTCTCCAGCGCCTGCTTAAAGTGGCGTTTCTAATCCCCCTTCGGGGCTGGAGAATCAAACCTCGGCAGAGAAGAGAAACGGATTCAGATAATCAACTTGCTGCCCTTAGGAGAGTCTGCGCGGGTTAGAAAGTAAATCCACTGCATTCATTGGGGCTTGCAATAATAATACACAATTGCAACACACACACGCTCACGGTCCCCAGTCCCGCTTTGTGGTCTCGTGTATTGCAGAGAAGGTAAAAGTTTCTCTAGCAGGAAAGCTTTACTCCGGATTACAGCCAAATGGAAATCTTTTTTTATTTTCTGTCCAGCAGGCGTTGCCTGGCAGCTCCATGAAAATGTTATTAGGAAAGTTTATTTTCAATTAAACCACGAGGTTCGCTAGATCTTCATTCGGCACTAAGTCCAAGGGAATGGAGCCTGACTTATTCCCGTTTAATTAAATGTAGCGCTGCAAAAAGTGAATCGGTTTAGTTAGTATCTGAATTGCCGGTTGTAACTTTTCCTTTTGCATTCCGTTCGGGAAAGGGGCCAAATTCTCGACGGTTATAATTTCCTAGAGTAAAAAAAAACCACCCAATAAAGATTTTTCTTTCATTCATTTTCATATATATATATATATATATATATAGGATTGTCTCAGAGCTAGGCCAAGGTTGTTGTTTTTTTCTTGAACAAACCGTCCAACCACGTGTTCCGAGGCAGAACGCGGGGAGACCCTAAAATCCACGTGTTCCTCGTAGACCAAACTACGCGTTGTCTTTAAAAAAAAATGGAATTAAATCTCTGTCCCCCCCCCCCCCAAAAAAAAAAAAAAAAAAACAGACGTTGTTTCTTGAGACTTTCCCCTTTTCTCTTTCTCCCCGTCCGGAATGCCACTGGGATTTCTCTCCGGCCCCTTTTCCAAAAAGGAGTTCTGGAGTTCTCCGGAAAGAACGCCGAGGAAGCGAGGATTCCACAAGAGAACGTCCGAGAACCCCTACATTCCGTTAGAGAACGCCGCAAG